TGCGAGTGGGTTCCCCGGCTAAGTGCCACCCCAGGGCCGCGGTACCAACCCTCAATCATGTCTAGGCCCCGTGTACAAGCGCCTCAAAGTTTTGGTGGGAGAATCGCCAACTCGAGAACCAGAAAAGCTAGAAAGCTGAAATTTTGGGATTATGTTTCCAGTTCAAGTAGAACTATTTCAAATTCAGCCCCCGGGGGTTCGTGGGTTCCCGCGTACGACCCCCTGAGGGTCCCTGGCGCGAAAATCGCTAGCTCGGGAACCAAGGAAGTTGGGAGGCTGAAATTTTCAGCAAATGTTCCCAACTCATCTACAACTTCAATTTATCAAATTCAGCCCCCCAATGTGCGTGGGCACCACGTAGGGCCCCGTGAGAATTTCTGGCGGGAAAATGAATAACTCCAGAACTAGGGAAGCTGGGAGGTCGAAACTTCCAGGAAATGTTCTCGACTCATCCGCAACTCCAATTTATCAAATTCAGCCCCCGCCATGCGTGATTGCCATGTACGACTCCGTGAAAGTCTTTCGCAGGAAAATGAATAACTCCGGAATCAGGGAAGCTGGAAGGCTGAAACTTTCAGGAAATGTTCTCAACTCATCTACAACTTGAATTTACCAAATTCAGCCCCCGTTATGCGTGGTGGCTACGCACGGCCCCGTGGAATTTTACAGCTGCAATTTCGGTAACTCGGGGACTGAGAGAGCTGGGAACCTGGGATTTCAAGGGAATGTTCCTTGTCCAACTATAGCGTGGATAATTAATTTCCCGAAATTCGAGGACTAGTACGTATAAGAGATTTCTAGCTAGCGGAATTTCGATTAATTTATTTTCAGGCTGTCATGTAAAAACTGAGCAAGAGTTAGTACTCTAGCTGCTTTGGTTGTCGAGTTATGTCAAATTTCATGCGTTCGAACATGGGGGAAACTTGACTGTTATCCCTATGTACCTGCCCTGGGCCGTGCCCGGAAAATTCCAACACTTTAGCTGCTTTGATTGCGCAGCTACGTTGAATTTCAGATGGTCACGCGTGGGGATGAAACGTGAGTGCTGTTATTATGTCCCCTTGCCCAAATACAATCGCAGGCCATGTCCAAAAAACTTCAGCTCTCTAATTACTTTGGCCGCGGAGTTGTGTAAACTTTCACGTGGATCGCATGTAAAATAGACACGAAACGCAAAGGGAAAGTAAAATTTACTTTCGTTGCCCACGCTCTAATTACAGCTCTCATAAGCTTTCAAAGCAGCCTAAATCTTATGTTGCCACGGCACCAAGAAATTTGAACTTGTTTATGCTTATACGTGGGGTGTATGAAGACTGAATTAAAAAATTTGGTTCACACGTAGGCAAGAGATTTCTTTTCAAAGTTTCAGCCTTCTATGGGTCGCTCTGCCGCCAAAAAATCTTTCACTTATCCGTACAGGAGAACGTAACGTCCATTTCACGCCTATAGATCCACACACAGGTGTACATCAAGTTGACGAAGATTCAGCTTTACAGTCTTTGTAGATTTCGAGGTCGAAAAAGACGAGCAGATGTTGTGCACTCAGTGACATACCCATTCACAAATGTACGCACACAACCGCTCGACAGTATGCATTTTCTGTCTTCCAACGACTTTTTATGCGTTTTTTGCAGCTACGCAATGCGAAAAACGCATATTGACGAGAGGTTGTCTGTGTGTGCGTGTGTGTATTTGTGTGTGTCTATGTGTGCGCTGCGCGTCTGTACCGATTTTTCATCTCGAGACCCACAAAAGCTACGGGGCTGAAATTTTGGGGACTTAATCTACATGCATGTGCGGACCCCATCCCCAAAATGGGCGGTCTTTCCCGTGTGGTACCCAAGTAAAAGCCCGCCAAAATTTTTTACGGGTAAGCTGCTAACTCGCGAACCAGAAAAGCTAGGGAGCTGAAATTTTATGGAAATGTTCCCCGTCCAAGTAGGCACTAATGAGCTTAAAACCAACCCCCCGGTAAGCGTGATACTTACGGGCCCGCCAAAATTTCTCCCTGGCAAATTTATAACTCGGGGATCTGAGATGCTAGAAGACTAACATTAAAAGGGTGTTTCTCGTCCGCATTAGTGTCAACGAGATCACACCCAGCCCTCGGTCATGCGTGGTACCTACGCACGGATCCACCAAAGTTCTTCTCGGGCGAGCTCATAGCTCGAGAACCTGTAAAGCTATAAGACTGTAGTTTTAAGAACATGTCCACCGTCCAAGTTAGACTCAACGAGCTCAAACCCAGACATCAGGCATGCATCGTACCCGCGTGAGCCCGTGAAAGTTTTTTCCAGTAAGTTGCTAACTCAGGAGCCAGGAAAACTAGAAAGCTGAAATTTATGCGAATGTTTCCTGCCAGTTCTGGCATCCAGTCTTAATTTGTTTATCTTGAAGCATTTGCCGAAAAACCGATGCCGGTAGTGACAAAAATTGCTGGAAACTCTGCAAAAAACGCATCTTCGCACGGGCAGCCCATGCGTTGGCCAATTATGTACTTTCACTGCCGGAACTATCGCAATTAGCGAGCACTTTTGCAAGCTTTGTTTTCTAC